GGAATTTTGATTTGTGGGGTTTATTAGTGTAAATTAGACTAAGGTTGAGGATTTGATTTGGAAATTCAACAATAGCAAAGGACCTAATTGCAATTTTGTAATTTATAATTTATTACAATGTAGTTCATGGTCAAATTTTGAAAATTTGATATGTTTAGAGGATACAATTTCAATTTTATAAATATTAATAAATTACAAATTGGTTAAATTTATAGTTTATACAAATTTCAATCTTGCACTTTAATGTCATGTAAATTGCACTTTAATGATAATTACATTGCACATTAATGTTATATAAAGTGCACTTTAATATTTTTATCTAACCTTTTTATTTATCTTGATTGAAAAAAAATATTTGTTTATAAAAAATATTACTTTTTATATAATTTTGTCGGTCCAGTTACTCCAGTTACTTAGAAAAAAAAGCCGACATCTTACGGAAAAAACTAAAATTTTAAAGGTAAACACATGTAATTGATCCGACATAAAATTAGAACACATCAAACGAATTCAAATGTGTTCGGTCGCTAAAGTGCAATCGGTCAGTCATTAATGTGCAATCCGTATAACATTAAAGTGCAATATGACAAACATTAATGTGCAATCAGACTAACACTAATGTGCATTCCAAGTGCACTTATTTATTTGTTTTTTACAAAAAAATATATTTAGTATTTGCAATATTTTCGTTAATACCTTATATTGTTGTTTTATGAAAATAAATAATTAATATATAGATAAAATATAATTTATTTTTTTTGTACAGTTCGGTTGGTTTTATATATTTGGTTTGTTAACCGAAATGACTAAAATAATATTTTTCGTTTGAAAAGAGATATTAAACGTGTATACGTTTGGCGTCGATATTTTTTGAAAAAATGATCAATATATACACTATTCTTATTTGGTTGGAGTCGATATATTGATACTTTGATGTGTTTACAATTTAGGTCATTGGTTAAATTTATAATTTATACAAATTTTTATACTTGCACATTAATGTTATGAAAATTGCACTTTAGTGATAATTGCATTGCACATTAATGTTAAATAGAGTGCACTTTAATATTTTCTATATAACGTTAAAGTGCAATTTACATAACATTGCAAATTAGTGACTGTCAGATTGCACAGCATCTAACGAACGCGACCAAACTAAAATTTTATGTCCAAAATTTTATATTTCGGCCCAATTATTTTATGTTTTAATTAAAAAAAAAATCGATTATTTTAGTTCAATTATGATTTTTTTCTTATTTAAATAACCGAATGACTGTACTATATTGAAAAATATTATAATATTTTTTTATGTAAACATATTATTTATATTCATTCAATAAAATATAAAAATATTAAAGACTAATTATATTTCAACTAATTACAAATTTTATCTATAAACTAAATTGTAATATATTAAAATTTTAAAATTGCGAGTAGGTCCCTGTCTACTATCAAAATTCCAAAACAAAACCCAATGTTAATCTAATTTACCATAATAATACCACAAATCAGTTTTCAAATCCTAAAATCACGAGTAGAAATTTCCAAAAGAAATAACACATCTTAAGCCGAATAAATGTGAAATTTCCAAATCTAATTCTCAAGCTGCAATAACACATCTCAAGCCGTGAAATTTCCAAATCTAATTCTCAAGAATAACACCACAAATCAGATTTCACATTCTAAAATCCACATCTTAAGCCGCAGAAACGCGGGACTCTCGAGGATACCAGATCGCCGTTGAAGCCGAGGTCGACGGCCGATATAAGCCCCGTCGGCAGCTGTCAGGAGGTGCGGCGGCCGGCGTCAGAGAGGAAGAGGATAATAAATCTCGAGCGCCGCCGGATTCGGCCTGGTGGTCGGACGAGAGACGGCGTTGGATTGTTGGAGACGTGATTGCGGATATGGCGGACCTGGTCGGGGTGGATCAATTGGAGGCCGTGGTGGTGGTGACGGGACCGACGGCGGCGGTTTGGTATCAGCGGTTGGAACCCAACAGTATGCAGATGGTGTTGTCCGGCGGTGGTGTTTGTCTGACAGGCGGCGGGCGACGGGCGGCGGGTGCTGACGTCCGACGGCAGTTGAAGTGGTGGTGCTTGATGTGAATCTGTGAGTGTATGTGAGGAGTGAGAGTGTGTGTAAGTGTGTGAGAGAGAGAGATAGATAGTGGGTTTGTTGGTGGGTGGGTAGGTGATTGACGGGTTGGGGTATGGGTAGGTGATTGGTTTTAACTTTTAATGTGGGAGGTGGTGGGCCCCACATATTGATGTGTTTTGATCAAATGTCTAAATTACCCTTAATTACTAGTCAAATGTACATATTTGACCACAATATGATCATATAATTACCAGATTGCCATTAATGATTGACCATATTTGACTTCATCATAACCATTAATATGATTAATCTCATGGTCCATATTTATTCTCATTTCTTTCACTATCTATCATTCTCACATGATCCCAACTCTCTCTCTCTCTCTCTCTATATATATATATATATATATATATATATATATAGAGTTGGGATCATGTGAGAATGGTAGATAGTGAAAGAAATAAGAATAAATCTGAAACATTGGATTCATCAAGTCAATGGAAATGATCAAGTCAAATTAGTAAATAGTAGTCAAACATACTATGACAGTTTTGTAAATAAATATACACATCTTCGTTAAATTTATACATTTTACCAATAAATAAGGACAAATAAGACATTACATAATCATCCAACAACTTGCAGTGGGGCCCACCACTATCTAATCCCACTATCTACCCATCTCTTTCCACCCACTCTCTCTCTCGTGCTCAGGCAAAATACCTCCGCCCACTCAGGAAAATACCTCCGCCGCACTGCCACCATAGCCCACCGCCATCACGAATCGAGCCACCATCAACGACTTGCTCCGCCGCCGTCACGAGCCGAGCCACCATCAGAAACATGCTCTACCGCCGAACACAACAGAACAGCCACAGCCCGCCTTCTGCCGTCGCCGACCGTAGCCTGAGACAGTCGCCGTCCACAGTTCCTTCCCTCCATTGCAGCTCCGCCGCCCGACGCTAAGATTCCTGCGAGATGCCTCCGCGACAACCACCACTCCGCCACTTAACCGAAAATCTCCGCCAGTCAAAGCTTTTATAGGTCGAGGGAATGGTTTTGTCCCTTCTCTGGCGTGCTACAATTACCGAAACATATGATACAACACCTCGCTCGTTGCTTTCTTGGCTTCCCTCCCCTACTAATTACTTCAACTTCAGCATATGTAATGACCATGAATACAAAATACAAAATTTTTGCATACTCACTATAATATGCCATTGTACTACTGATATATTATTACAATACAACAACAACAACAACATACCCAATATATTCTCAACAGGTTGGGGTCTGGGGGTCAGTTGTACGCAGACCTTACCCTTGTAATTATACAAGGAGGTTGTTTCCGTAGCGACCCAAGGTGCATTGCGCTGTTTGATATATTTTTTTTTCTAAGAAACTTCACTGATAAAGGAAGCACTAGAATTTAATTGAGCCATTTTGATGTTGTCCATTATTAGCACTATGTCAGGAGAATTGTCAACAATGACTCTTCCAGCTCCATTTGCAGCAAATGGACAATGATATATTATTACAATATATTATTGAATTTAAATAACTATAAATTTCAAAACAAACCCTTTCACAAAATGATTGCTACATAATTTCATGCTTGATACTCATAACCCGTTTGCCCAAATTCATGTCTTGTTGCTTTATACTTATGGCCTGTTTGTCCAATTTCATGTATTATTGATTCATAGTGTGTAAACTATAGCCTTGAATGAGTCAAGATAATAATTCTAGATTGTTGAGCACATAAATACCTGGTGCCATGTTTTCATTATGTGTCTTTTTCTTTGCACATTGCTTCGTTTTGTCAATCCATGGCGTTTGCTAGTCTTGACTGTTTATACAGAATACAAAAACACAAAAGCACGAAAAGATTAATAGTTTGACTGCAGTTTTGAGTATTGATGCTAATGTATCAGTCTGACATGTCTATTAGTTATTAATATAAATTTTGAACTTTCGTTTTACATAAAATTTAATTTAAGATATTTTATAACTAATTTCATAAATCTGTTTCAAGAAACATAGAGCAACATGGTATGCGATTGCAAAACATGTACCAGCAAGTTTAATTATCTAAGAGCACCAACATATATTTACTATATGCTTTTGATATTGTGATTTGTTTATATAATAATGTTAAAAAAATATGCTTACTCTTATTTCTGTTTTTTTATTGAGGATAAACACGAAACACGAATAGCGAGATAATGCAAATGCCTCGCAGATCTAGCAGATAAAGATCAGGTCATTCGCTGCAAATCAGAGGTATGTTAAAAAAATATATTTATTTCAAACAAATAAAAAAACAATTGAATTCACTTAGTTGTTGTAGGGATTACCTTGCAACGGATTGTCAGTACTTGTTGATTCTTTGTTTATGATGTTTATATTTGATTTATGTCCTTCACCATAGTCTCGTTTCATTGAAATCAATCAAATTGATGTACAATGCTGACTTTGCTGAAAATTGTTTATACTACGAAATCTGATAAAAAAAATTGCACAATAAAGTTAGTTTAAAAAAAATATGCATGTGAAAATTAACTGACAACATAAACAACATTACCTGTTTCAAATCACCATAGTATGTGTGTGCTTTTGGTTTAGAAAGTACAAAATTGTTTCTGAAGGATAATTTTTGATGGTCTGTTTTTCAGTCTTTATATAGCATGTGTGGTGAACTTTTTTTTGGCTGAAAATATTTTTTTACCTATTTGACAATACACTATTAAAATTGTGTATGATATTATTCTAGAAAAAATCATTATGCCATGTGAAAACTATTATATTTAAATAGCGAAATACCTGCAATTTCAATTAGATATGTATGGTAAATACGTTCAAATATATGAATTTCATTTAGTTATGGTATCTTTTGATATTTTTGCGTGTTTGCCATATGGAATTTATCTTATATTGAATCCAATGCTAAATAGATGAGTACATACAAAAACATTTTTTAATTAAGTGTCTTGTATTAAATGTTGTAGGATTTAATTGTGATTAAAGTTTTTGATAGTGCTGATGCAGAGAAGACCATGAAGATTCATATTAGCCCAATGTGGAAGTGCTGATAAGCTGATATGGCATCCTGATAAAAAAGGGATCATTTCTGTTAAAAATGCATACAAGGTTATTATCCAGGCCAAGAAAATTGAGCAAGGGAATGTGGGAACCAGCTCAGGGAATTCTACAATGCAAAAGATCTGGAAAGCTACATGGCAGTTACCAACCAAGCCAAAAATCAAGAATTTTATATGGAACTGCTGGTTCAAGTGGGTTGGAACTAAAGAGAATTTGCTGAAGAGGGGAATGGAAATTGATGGTGGGTGTTGCTAGTGTGGAGAACAGGTTAAGACCTTGGAACACATCCTTTTTAATGCTCAAGGGCTCAGAGAACATGGAAAGTGGCTGGCTTAGAGTGGGAGAGAATGAGTAGGGAGAATATGAAATTTCAGGACTGGTGGGGGGATCTTTGTTCATTGAAGCCAACCAGTTATAACAGGGATAGAGTTAATCTATCCACATATTTACTATGGTGGATTTGGAAGACTCGTAATACATGGATATTCCAAAAAGAAAAAATTTCTGAATGGAAGCTAGTGGAAATGGCAAAATGGGAGTGGTTAGAGTTAGAAGCTGTCGTGGACAAATCTAGAAAGGATAAAGAGGTTAGGGTGAGAGTTGCAACTCCGATTTTGGATACAGGAAGCCAAGGAGTAGGGGTATTATGTTCAATACCCAGTGCTAATGAGCTTTTTGTTGATAACCAAAATCTGAGAGGTGTAGCTCTGGTTAGAGAAGTAGCAGTGGCCCCGTGGGAGGTGAATGAAGCAGAATCGAGCAAATGGTCTTCTAAAGAGGAACTCTTGAATATTAGAGAATGGCTAAGGCAATGTATGGAAGCTGGAGGGAAGGACATCATCATAAAATATGGTAGCAATGGGCTGGCAAAAGCTCTTACATCAAGAGATCTCTTCCCTTCTACTGTGAGCAGTGTGACAGATGATATAATGCTTTTGGGTACTCACTTTTTGTCTTGTTTATTTATTTAATGTTTGTAATATGTGAACTATGTTTTTTCTATTTGGTTTGTGGTTGTTCTAGCTATGTAGTGTGTTCTTGGAATGACCGTGTTGGGTCTTGGTAGGGGCAGATGCTATCTTCCCCCTGTATGTTGTAATCCTTTGATTACCGAACTTTGTATCGTTGAGTGGTGCTATGGAAATTTATTGTTTGAGAAAAAAGATATTCATGAATCAGAATCAGAATCAGAATATCATGGCAGNAGCTACTATTTCAGGTAAATGTCAAATTTTTTTATATTATTATAGATACACGTAAGATAAACCAATCTAGTCATTGTATAACGAAAATATACATAAAATATACGCATTATATACATAAAAAAATGGCCAAAAAAAAAGAACCAAAGGAGCGTTGGGAGGCTGGAAGCAAAAGTAAAAAGAAAAAAGAAAAACCCAACAACGTTGGGAGAATCTTATCGTTCAGTCGAGACGCTCACTCCAACCGGGCCATTGCTGTTCATCTTCAGAACTCAATCAGGGAGTTGCGTCACTTCTTGCCGATTGAACGATTCGCTGTTGGACGAGCAATCAATTCAAGGCTCATCACTGCGAGATGCGCCCGTCGCCAGATCCACAAGTGATGGGAGTTCGAGGATTGGGCGCCCCGCACAAGGGAAATCCGCCGCCACCATCGCTGATGCACGGAGTTGCAGCCGCCCGCTGCTCTCTACCGGTCACAAACAACGTCCACCAATTGTTGTCTTCATGAGGGATAAATTAGAGACGAACAAGGAGAAATTAGAATAAGGAGACGATTTTTTATAAGAAATGGAGATTCATGATCATCGGGGAAGAAAAAGATGAGAAGAAGAGCAGATGGAGAGAATTAATTGTGGTAGGTGGGAAGAAAAAGGGGAAAAGAATCGATGTTGTGTATAAATTGTATCTTTACAAATATTTTGGCTAGTAGATAACCTTTTGCAAATAAACTATTTTTGTAGTAGAAGTGTAATATTTTATGAACAAGTTAGTGCGTGGAGTAATTTCCTCTTAAAAATACACATCACACAAATTACATCGTCTGTATGGTATTCTCCATTATCCTTTTATTATCCCGGTATCCTTTTATTATCAAGTAAATCTATCTATATCTATAAATATACTAGTACAAACACCCGTGTAATACACGGGTGTTTGTTAAAAATTATTCTTAAATTTTGAAATTAATTAAAAAAATTATTTTAAATTTTAATTACTTTTTTACAAAAAATATACATTATTATATATTTTAGAATGACACTTGTTACTTGTGCGACTTACATGTGTTATATTATAGTATTTTTTATAACTTGTTACTTGTGCGACTTACATGGGTTGGGGGGTTTATTTACATATTTTATTTAATTTATTTTTTCAATATTGAACACTTGGTTCTGGCCTGATGGTTCAAAAAAAATTTAACCATTCTCAACAGTCAAATTCATAATTTTGACCGTTGGCGGTTTTGAGCGGGCCAGTTCGAACCCGAGACCGAACCTCGACCCCGACACCATTTATAGTACAGAAAAAGGAACCATTCGATCTCCAACAATTCAGGATCTTTAACAGTCAAAACGATCCAACAGACCAAATTTAATCCATTAACGGATCAGGTATCGGGCCCAACTTAGCTCGACCCAACTCGAAAAATAAATAAAAAATTTTATTATTGTTATAAAGAAAAATATAATTTATTTTTTTAATACATACAATATGGATGTTAAATCGAAGTTCATCAAAAGATGATTAATTTGATATATTATATATGTAAAACTGATAAAAAATATAAAAGTTATTAACTTTTAAAATACATTTACAATTCAATAGTTATAATAAGAAATGATATTAAAATGCAATTAATACATGTAACATGACCATAAATAATCAACATATCTATGGATAATCCGAACTTATGTTTTTCTTGGATTGGAAGTAAATTAAAATCTTTAATAATTTTGCCATATAGGAATTTTGAAGCATGCTAGCCTGCCATTTAAACTCAGCATGTTTTGAATTAACTAGTGTATATCCCGTGCGATGCACGGAAGAGTTCATATTTTAAACATTTTTTAGACTTTATTTTAAATATAATTATTTATATTTTTCACTTCTCGTCTATTATGAAAATAAAATCAATACAATCAATGAAAAATATATATTATTAAATACTTTTCTTTATACAATATTTTTTATTTAAGAAATATTATTAAACCTTACGGTTTTGATTTGTTTTTTTAAATCAATAATCCAAAATATATGATTGTTAGCGTACAAAAAATAATGGAAATAATCCAGACTTTAAAGTAAAGCTACTTTTTATTATTTTACAAATAAAAATCTTCCAATTTTTTTTTAATTTCAAAAAAAAATTGGCAAGTTTGATAATGAGTTAAATCAAGTTATACAAATGACTAAATAGTTAAAATGTTATATTAATTATATTTTAAGAAATCCGATTATATAAAAATGGGTAAAAAAATATTATACTAATTAGTTTGTTAGGATTGTGATTATATGGAAGTTAAAATAAAATGAAATGTAACCAAAAAATTTGTTCGTGGTTTTTTCCTTTAAATGTTTGAATTTAAAAATTTAGTAACCAAATTTACATTATATCACGTAAGGAAAAAAATAAATAATAAATATTTATTAAAGAGATAAATCAATAATATTTATCACTTAGATAATAAATAATAAATATTTACATGTAAAAAAATAAATAATAATATATTTAAAAATATAAGTCAGAATTTCAAATAAAGTAAAAGGAGGGATAACTCATTTTTTAAAAAAAGTTTCTAAATATTTAATATATTGATAAGTATCACCATAAGAATAATCATATCATTTTAATTTTAAAATTGGCAAGTTTGTTAGAGAGATAAATCCGGTTAGACAAATGATTAATTTGTTAAGATATTATATTAATTGTATCATAAAAAACCGGTTAGATAATGTAGATAAAAAAAATATAATACTAATTAGTTTGTTAGAAATGTGATAATGAAAACCAAGATAAAATGAAATTTACCCAAAAAAATTGTTTGGAATCTTTTCCTTTAAATGTTTGAATTTACAAATTTAATACCAAAATTCTATTATATCACATAAGGAAAAAATAAATACTAAACGTTTATTAATATATTAAAATATGTAATTTTGAATTTCATATGNNGT